CAGGACAAGGGAACAGATGGTATTTATGAATGCTTTTAAGGGAGCAGTTGGGGAAAGCTTCCCAAAAGATGGCAGGCTAACTGGAACTTAAAGTATGATTGGAGGTCATCCTGGAAGATCCTCCCAGGCTGAATTTTGCTGAAGTGAAAGGACATGTTCTTATTCCTTTTTTATAGGCACCAGAAAAACTAAACTGCATAAAGGTGAAAATACATGACAATGGATGACATATTTTGGTAACGATGAGTGGTCTGATCAGAACTAACAGCAGAATGCTGTTTCTGGACCATTGATTTGGCTCTGAGCTTCTTAGTAGACAGATTAAAAAGGAAAATAGATTGTTTCCATCAATTCTGACTTTCATGGAGGTATTATGATACACATTCATTTACTTACTTCCTTAGTTCACTCAACATATATTAATTTTCTGTCTAGTGCATGCTGGGCATCTGGATAGGCTATGAAAAGATAGCACTGAATAAACAGACCACAGTCCTTGACCTTATGGAACATTAACATTCAGGTTCTATACTGAGGTCATTCAACTTAGCTCCCATCTCACTGACTCATTTTGATGAAGTCAAAGGCTGAGAGAATAACAGGAGTTGAAAATGTGTACTGATTTTAACATATTACCCATATAGGAAATGAAAGACAAAAAATGTCCAAAAGGACAATACCTCTGCCTAAAGTTTTCTTCTTTACTTAAAATATTGCAAATTATTAAGAAACCTGAATGTATTTTAAATGAAATGTCCTGTAAGTGAAAAATGTCTGTAATTTGGAAAAGAGAACACAAAAGACCTTCTGTTATTAGAACAGATGATCATTCTAATGAGCAAAACCAGGAATGCATTGCTGCCTACACACAGCTAAGCCAAACCAATCCACAAAATAATTTCTACCTGCATGATTGGATGCTATTTTTGAATGGGCTGGATGCATGTTGTGCGGAGGACAGGATGTTGAATTTCTTCTATATGTTCATAACTCTGACTTTCATGAATTATAAGTAATCTTAACAGATAACTGGCTCTGCAAGAAAGAATGGCTTGGGGTCAACTCTCTTAAAAAATATTAATACTAGAAGACCTCACAGTTAATACAACATACCAATACATCTGGTGTTCTAGAGGCACATTTTGCAAGTAATTTTTTCTCAGAGAATTAATTGCTAAATTAAACTGCTTAAGTTGAAAGATTTACAGGAGTGTTTTACCAGAATTCTAATGGCTTGGTGGGCATTTGTGACACTAACCTTTAGAAATTTTCCAGGGTAAAATTATCTTAGTAATATCATGGTGCAGAACTTTGGAGTCCTAATTCTCATTTTACCTATGCATGGGAGAGATCCAGAATTGCTTATGAGGGAAGAAAGCCTTGATTCTTTTTTAGGGTACTCTTTGTTTTGCTCTTCATAGAATAAAAATGGGATTTAAAAAAAAATCAGGAAAATTTCCTGATTAGGTCTCCATTTTTCATTAGGATATGGCATTTTTATTCCCAGCTGGGCTGATTATGAAAGCATATGGATCTCTCCTTAATTGGCAACATAGAATATTTGCACCCTAGGCCCACGTCAGCAAATAAAACTCTTTATGCTCAATAATTACCAAAAGCTCAGTTATGAGATATAATTTTTACTTACAGAGCATTGCCTAAAGGTTATGCAGCAATCCATTCCTTTAATTACTCTCAAATCAGTTCTATGTAGGTGGGCTGTCAGAACTCCACCTCTCTTAGATCTGCTATAATGACGTGGGCTTTGGTATTTATTGCATATCTCCAGTCAAAGGAAATGCTTGACACTGATTTTACACAGTGGAGAGGCTGATGCAGACAGGATCTGGTTCAATCATAATCCAGACCATCTTCCTGCTACAGAACCAAAAGAGTAATTTTTCTTCTAAGTAATTTCCATGCTGTAAACATGCAGATCTAAATTACATGACTGATGGTGTTTTCCTTCTTGCACAGCCTGCTCAGAAGCTCAGAGCCAAATTCATGAACCACCTGAAGCTGTTATATAACTTTATGATATTCATTTTTTATACAGTTTTCTCTATAGCATCATCTGATTTCTTGAAAAAATTTATTGAGCTGAAACTCTCACAATATAAAATCAGTTGTTTTATTTTTATTTCTTCTTATTGCTATTATTATTATTATTTGTGGTGTTTTAGGTATCTGTAGGCTCTGGGGATTGAACCAAGAATCTTGCTTATGCAAAGCAAGTGCTCTACTACTGAGTTACACCCCCATCCCCAAAGTCAACCATTCAAAAGTAAATGATCCAGTGATATTTAGTATATTCACAATGCTATGCAACTAACCCCACATCAGATTCCAAAATATTTCACTGTCACCAAGAGACTCATCTTAGTTCTCTTCCATTATTCTTTTGATTCTTTAAAATGAATCGTATACTCCATGCATGTCTGCAAAGTGCCACAACTTTTTTTTTTTTTTAATGAAACAGGTTTTTAACATACACATAAAAATATCTAAAACAAGTCCAAGTGCAGGAGATGGAGAACAAGGAGTAGGGAGTGGAAGAAGAATGAAGTAATCATTTTGTGTAAACCAAATGAAGAAGGAATTTCAAGAAAGAAACAGTCAACAAGAGCCACATGACAGAAATGTCACATAAAGTGAAGATTGAAATGATGCTGCTAATTGATCAGTTAGGAAGTCATCTGCAACTTTTATGTAGTCGAGTGTCTGTAACATGTAGGTTAGAGGCAAAACCTGATGTGACTAGAAGGTGAGATAGTAGAGACTCAGAAACCTGGAACATTTCAAAAAATTGACAAAGGACTGAAAAAAAGAAGAGGCTATAGCAAGTTTAAGTTTATTTCTTTAAAGGTTGGGGCTGCTTAAGCCAAATATGGTAATAATAAGTGGAGAAAACTTGAATGATGGACTTGGTTCTGTGATCATCTCTGGGGTAAGCTTGAGCAAGTGACTTTACATCTCTAGTCTTGGATTTCTTATCTGTGACACAGTGGCTTAACCAAAGTACCTCTGGGATTCCTTCTAGCTTTAGTGTTCTGTGGTGCATTCATGGATAGAAGGAATGTGAAAATAAAGCAAGAATAGCAAAGCAATTTTGAAAATACAGTAATGTTTTTTTTCATAGATACACTCTAATTTTTACTGGTCTGCTTGAATTGCTGATTTTATAATTGGATTTTATGATATTAAAATGAAAGAGAAGAATCTAGTGAGCATTTAATTTCAATCCTTTGGCCAAAAAGTGTGTTGTGTTGTGTCCAACTACCCCTCAAATTACTTGGAAGTCAACAGGATGGTTGATGTGGATTGTGGTTGATTATAAGTGGCTAAAAATTCCTTGGTACTTGTCCCATTGAAAGATAAGTTCCATTTTGTTTTTTAATCTTTGAATATAGAAGGGCTCTCTGCAGCTGTTTAGCCATCAAAATATGAGCAATCGATGCTATTTCTGGGCCCTTAAGAGAATGGGATGCTGACTATTTCAACCTGGCTGCTATGCTATGAGGAAGCCCAAGCTGCCCCATGGAGAAGCCTTAGAGAGAACAAATGAGGCTCTAGCCAATAGCTCTGGTTGCTAGCCAAGTGTGTGATCCATCTTGAAAATGGATCTTCAACACCAATTGAGATATTCTAGCTGGCACACATGAAGCAGAGAAGAGCTGCCCTCAATGATCCCTGCCAAAATTTCAGATTTAAAGGAAAAATAAGTGGCCATATTGAGTCATTCATTTTAGAAATGATGTAACACAGCAATACATAACTGTATTGCATTATTTGTTATTGATCTAGTAAAACAAATCCAATTGTATAGATGATTCTTCTATCAGTACATATAAGCATTCCTGAAAAAACCTGTATTCTATAAAATTGCATATCAATTTCATACAACATTTATGAGGACAATAAGATTGATGTAGAATTTTGCAAAGAAAGCCCTAATTAAAACAGTAATGCTCCTGTTAAAAATACCAGTCACTGGCCAGGTGGGTGGTGCATGCCTATAATCCCAGAGATTTGGAAGGCTGAGACAGGGGGAATGCAAATTCAAGGCTGGCCTCAACAACATAGTGAGCTCTAAGCAAGTTAGTGAGACCCTGTCTCAAAATAAAAATAAAAAGAGTTGAGGATGTGGTTCAGTGATAAAACACCCCTGGGTTAAATCACCAGTGACAACAACAACAACAACAAATACCAGACATAACAAATCTCTTCTGGTATTCACACTTAGAATCACAGTGCATCCTTATCAGGCCTATATCCTGGGACCTGTATTTCTTAAAAGAAATTTTCACCTGTAGTTTTACCAGAGACCACTATAAAATGGAAAGAATAAGTGTTCTTGGAGCACTAAATCATCTACTTATTAAACTGAAAAAGGTTCTTCTGCAGATATTTCAGACCCTTTCTCCAAGGTCTTTACATATTGCTGAAGATTTCTTTTTAAGTAGGAAAGTTTGATCCTATTGCCTTTTGAAGTTCTTGGAAATTCAAAAGTGAATCTAGAGGACTTGTGAGTATCAACTTTCTTATTTGTGGTTCAGCATAAATGGCCCATTTGTTTGTGGCATATAGAACAATATACTGAAAATAAGGGCCGAATCCTCTGTTGCCATAGCCTGCATCATGAACCTGGGCCTTGTAACCTACCTTGTCCTGACCGACTCAATTTCAAAGCCAAAAGAGATTGCTGTTCTGAGTGGGGAGCAATTGGTGATGCTTTGGTTTCAGCTTCCTTCACCAGATCTGTCAGGAAAGGGCTGTCAGTACTCACTGTGGGATGGGAACTAGGGCTGAGAAAGGACACTGGGTATCCTGCTCCTCAGAAGCCAGTTCATTGGACAGCTCTTCTGTTTGAAGTGCTGGTGAGAACAAATCTTCTCTTGGAGGGAAGATGACCTTGTCACTTGTTTTTAAGGTAGTGTTGCAGATGGATTCCTAACAAAGAATGTTGTCATCTATCATTGACTTTGTGCAAAGAAACTCACCAGGTTGGCCAGGTCCTTCTCTCTCCATTGTATCAACCCTGGGTTCAATAAGAGGAAGCTCTGGACTCAAAGTAACATCCTGAAGAATGGATTTAGACAGAAAAGTTGAAACAGAACATGTATCATACATTAGAAGGGTTATAATCCAGATTTTACATATTTTCATCTAAATGTAAGCAAATCATTTTGTAGTTAGCATAAATTTACTACAGAAGAAGGTTCTGATTTAAAAATATATCTTGCAAGGGTAACATGCGCTAGTATAGTGATCTATTACATGATCTATTGCTTTTTGGCTAACTGGTTAGTCTGAAAAGGGCTCACTATTAACAATTTGAATTGCATCTATTTTGTTCCAACTTTGGAATTCTTTCATTTTAAAAGGGAATATTGGGCTGGGGTTGTGGCTCAGTTGGCAGAGCACTTGCCTGGCACATGTGAGGCACTGGATTCCATCCTCGGCATCACATAAAAATAAAATAAAAGGCATTGTGTCCATCTACTAGAAAAAGTATTTTTTTTAAAAGGGGGCTAGAACATAGTCAGCACTTTTATTTATGAACACTTTAGTGATAACTTCTGGCACAAAGTAAATTAATGTAGCTTTAAGTACAAAATTACTACTTATTATTTTTACTTTCTAAGATATTAATTTGAATTCACCACCTCCCATAAATAAATATGTAGGTAAGACTTTAAGAATTAAAAGTAAATTTATAAGGTATGTTTACCTTTCTAGTTATTTCTGAAAATCAAAGTTAAATAATATATTTTGCTTTAATTATTCTTTTTGTTCATAAAATGTGTTTGTTTTATCAAAGAGGGAGCACAACTTCATTCTAATTGAAATGAAGATCTAACCAAATTCAAGAAAACTTTGAGTTTTAGAATATTTGAAATGCAAGTTGAATTATATTTTATTAATACAGTTACTGGAAGTGGGTTAAACCAAGCACAGACTGTAAAAACAGAGTATTATAATTAACATTGCAATGGGAACTTTTCTCTATCCAGTTCATAAAACTGATTTTGTTTGATGGAAGGTTTTGAAGCTTTGTTTTCATTTGAACAAAAGGACAACAAATGCACTCACCTTTATGACATCAGCAAGGGGTGTGGGCAACCCTGACTGGGTGTCAGGTTTGGAGACTGGTGATGGTAAAACTTCTGTGGGTGAAAAATCACAAGATTTGACTATTTATTTTTTTCTTTTATAATTGGAACAATAAAACAAGGTTGGAAATAGCTAATTGACAATAGCCAATTCTTAATGAGCAGTACAACATATCATTAAGAAATCAGCATTGCAGGGCTGGGGTTGTGGCTCAGCGGTAGAGCGCTCGCCTGGCACGTGTAAGGCCCTAGGTTTGATCTTCAGCACCACATAAAAATAAATAAATAAAGATATTGTGTCCAACTACAATTAAAAAATAAATGTTTAAAAAAAGAAATCAGCATTGCATAGACTACTGGTCATTAATATGATTGGTTCATTGAAGGACAAATACAAGGGTTGCATCTTGCATGCTTGTTTGATAAGAAGGGTGTGATCATGGAGAGAAGCTGGTCAGTGGATACAGATGGGCCAGATAGGAGGAATAAGTGCTAGGGTTCTATTGTTCAGTGGGATGACTTAGTTAAATGTATTTTACATTTCAAAATTTGCTAGAAGAGAGGTTTTTGAATCCTCTCATCACAAAGAAATGATAAATTTATGAAGTGATGGATAGGCTAATTATCACAATTTGATCATTACATAATGAATATTTGAATGATTATATTGTATCCCATGAATATATATATAATTATTGTGTCAATTAAAAATAATGACATTTTTAAAGGAAAAGTTCTTAGGGTCGATTTTTAGGATGTTCAGTTCTATTCTACAGATTCTGGACAAGCATTGAGACTGATTGAGTAGGCCAGTGGGGATAAAAATATGACTGAACTGACAAAGAAATAAATGGCTGGCATAAATACTGGAGTCACAGACAATTTGTGGAGTCCTATTTCCTCTCTTAAACCTGATTCTCAGAATATCCCAGAAGGCTCAACTATGAGACAAACCCAGATTATCAGTGGGTTTTTGAGAAGAGACTAAGGTTGACCTTCTTTTGCCTTGGAGGTACATGATATATCTGTCACAGTAAGGATCTGACCTTGTTTCCTGCTAGGACACTGCATCAGGTCTCAGGGATCTTTGAGAAGTTTTTCAGTGTTAATAGTTTGCCTATCTGAACCAGAAAAAAATAACTGGAAAAGAATGACAGTACTGTGCCATGTGATACTAAAATGACCTCCCTTTCTATCTATTATACTGTCTTCTGAACCAGCTGGGGAGTTCCAAGCTCCTGGGTCTCTCCAGGCACCCTCTGAAGATCTTGAGTGTGTCTGATTATCTTGTTGACCTCTTTAGATTCATTTACCAGTCCTATCCCTTTAACTTTCTGTCTTTGGAGATTGACTTATGTAGACTGCATCAATGGTTCCTTGCCTTCTGTCTTTGAGATGGCTTAGATCATTAGGGAGGTAGGAATGAGGCCTTGCTGCTTCTACATGTAGGAAACTGCCCTGTTCCTTTTACTAGAGGCAAACTCTTGTGAATAGTTCCTTTATCAAATTCTCATCAAATGATTCTAATTTGAATGTGCCATCTGTTTCCTTCTAGGACCAAACAATTTACTGGATGAGGGAATCAATTTAGATTATGCAAGGTGAATAAAATTATTCATGGGTTCTTTTGTCTGTCTTGGTTCCACTGGATGACAATAGTGGACCTGGGTTGAACTGAAAAACTTGGATTTTCCTAGAGCTATTCTTGGTACAGAGTGGTCACCAAAGGCTCACAAACAAGACACAGAAGGAAGTGAAAACAGATAGATGTGATACCACACATGATGTGCCTGCCTCAGTAATCATTGACTTTATAAGGCCTACATTAAAATGAGTTTCCATGAGACACTCACACTTCCTAGCCTCTCTGTCAGAATGAGGATAAATTTAGAACCATGAAATCATCAACTGACCATCAGTGAACTGAATTGTTCCCACATCCAAGGACTGGTCTTCCTCTAGTACTCTGCTGATCAGTTTTTTGAGGTCTGTGATTGTGAGATAGATTTCTGATTGCTTGTTCTCCTCCATGGTTCCCTGGTGGAGTCTTTCAGTTTCAATTTTGTTGGAATCAAATGATAGGAGGTCACCGGTGGGTCTTTTTGCTTCCGCAGCATCTTTATTAAAGATGGCCGTAAGTTGCATCTCTATGGAACTTGAACTGTGAACAGCAGAGGACACATTCCACTCAAAGTCATTGTTACATGCCTTCTAAAGACAGTCACTATGTTGCTACAAATCTTCAGGACAGCTTCAAACTCTTTTCCTATAGGATCTTAAGGAACATTCCACATAAAACATTTCAGTGTTTACCAGACATTTGACATGTAGAAAAAGAATTGACATATTTTAGTTTTGAAATAGAATGTCAGAATTGGGGTTAAGTCAAGCTTGAAGAAGTCAATCTGAATCCATGGATTTCTTTCTTTTTTTTTTTTTTAAACTTTAGGTATTTTTGAAAAAGAGTTAATTATCCAATGTTAATTGACAATGTTTTTGGTGGTCTTAAAAGTCATGCTGTGCTAATTAGGAAGAGGATGAAGTGCCTATTCTTTTAATCCTCTTTACAAAGGTTTATGAAATAGCAATATAGCACAAAATAGTGGGACATTAGGCTATGCATATTCTAATCAAGTCAAAACTTCAGTTTTTAAGACCATTTCTCTTCTACCTTTTTCATGAAATATTTTTTAATAAAAAATACTCTAAATGAAATAGCCACAGGAAGAAATAAAATAACAGAATATGTAAGAAAATAGGGAGTTAAGTAATACATTTTATACAATTAACTGTATTTATTATCATTTTTATTATTCAATGCCTTTTGCATATAAAAATGAAACAAGATTCTCTATAGCTCTGTCCTCAAAAATCAGGTTTTACTTTATGGTTCATGTCATAAATCTACACAGAGGGATGCAGGAGTGGTTTAAAGGCCATGGGAACTGATAATGTGTATTCTTGGCAGTTCTTCAGACCACACAATCAGTCAGAGTCTACAGTTCATTATTTCACTAGTCAATTAGAGGAGACAGAGCTTCTTCTTATTGAACACTCCAAGGTATAGTGGGTCCTTTTCCCAGTTCAAACTGACCTTGGAATAAAGAAGCAAATTAGTTTTTCTACTTTATTCCAGAGTTAGGTTGGTTGCCTGTAATGTATGCACAGACAACTTCCCATTACAAAGAACCTTTAAGAAATAGTTAACTTTAAGAAATAGTTAAATCATGCTTGCACCTTAGATATGCATTTAATTTTAGAATTATAAAATTAGAAAAAAAATAATTCTATAAAACTCAAGGTCTAATTAGAAAAACAAAAAATGTTTTTCTAATTAGACCTTGAGTTTTATAGAATCCTTTTTGGCTGATCAGGTCAGTTTTTCACTGCTTATCTCTCATTGTGATTTTTGACTGGAGAGTTTTTTTTTTTTTCAATTACTTCCATTTAAATAAGAAACCATTAAAAACTCATTGTCATATCTCAGATATTATATGTAAGAATTATTAGTACATAGCCAACATACAAATTGTTGAGGAAACCATGCTATATTTTAAAAATTAAAAAAAAAACCCAAATTACCCATTTCTTTCTTTCTTTGGTCTTCATTTCATCACGTGCAATGGAAACATGCAAGAGAAAGAAAGTTTTAAGATATTTATTGAGTCATTCAATGAATTATTTCATATATAAAATTATTTTTGCATAGTTTCTTATGTTTGTCCAAAGCTTAGAAGGACACATATAAATAGTACACGTGGAAAAATGAGAATTCATACCCTATTTGAATCAAATGTATGATATGTCAAGATCATTATATTGTCTTGAGCAACTAATAAAATAATAATAATAATAATAAAAGAATTTGGAAGGAAATATTGACAGCTATATGAATCTCAGATGTAAACATCATTACATGATATTTCTATTAGAATTTGAATTTTTGCTCAAAATGTTATATGTTCTTATGGTCTTCCTCCTAAACTCCTTTATTTCTTCATATTGTTCCTTAATTAGGCTGCATGTATATCCTATGCATTTTGAGTGGTGCTATTGCCAGCCAGGAAGTTCTTAAAAAGTATTTTATTCATGGGTTTCTCACCTCCTAAATAGCATTAGGTGACTATTTTATGCCTAAAGATAATTTACCTGATGTTCAACCCAAGATCCAACATTTTATTGGCTACATTTTGAGTTGCTTTGACCCATAAACTTTGAGGGATTGGTCCAATTCACCATGGGACAGCTTGCAAAGAAATCCAGCACCTGTTTACTGAGTGGGTGCTATGTACCAAGCAGTTCATGTGTGTTCTCATTTAATTTTTTCAACAGCACAGTATCCACATGATATGGGAACATGAAGTGAGAGGGAAAGCATCATTTGGAATGTGTAGAGGTAGGATTCAAACTCTGGCCCATCTGCCCTCGCCTGGGCTCATTTTGCCATACCACCACCAGCTGCTGATTACCTGAAAAAAGGCACTTTGGCTGCCAAAACTGAAAGATATATCTTAGACTCCTCTGGGTATGTATGAATTCACTTCAGAAGCTATATTCAGTTTTCAAAATTTTAAATAGTTGCTCACAAAGACACTACCCATGAGATGGCATTAGCGTCATTGGTGTTCCTGCCTGAACAATGAATTCATCTAGCTTTCTTCCTCTGATGTAGTATGACTCCAGTGGACATGTTACAGGTATGCTACCACTTGTTCTCTGTGGTTTCAGAAAGAATCTATGACTACTTAACTAGCCTATTCTATGGGGAGAGATTTCCTTCTCTACCAGGTAGTTATTCATACAGGACCAACAATAATTTGTGATCCATGAAGCTCAGGAGAGAGGCCAGGCTTCTTGGGCCAAGACTCTAGCTCTGCTAATTAAAAAAAATTTGCTTTATTCACATATCATTGCATAAACAAACCAGACATATTTAAGGCATATGATTTGATATATTTGACACTATCCACCTGTAAACCATTACCACAATTAAGACAGGGAGCATATTCTTCACCCCAATGCTTTATCATGCCCCTTGGTCATCCTTCTTTTTCATCTCTCTCCACTATCTCTAAGCAACTTCTGATTTGTTTACTGTCATTATTGATCAGTCTGCAGTTTTTAGAATTTAATATAAATGGGATTATAATGTATTTTTCTTTGTTTTCTTTCATTTAACATCATTATTTTGAGATAGACCCATGTTATTGTATCTTCCAATAGTTCATTTCTTTGATGAAAGGAAGTCTGTCATAAGAATATGCTGCTACTTTTGGTCAACTGCTCTGTTGATTGATATTTTGGTTGTTTCCAGTTCTTGGTTATTACAAGTAAAGCTGCTATGAACATTTGTGTACCTGTTTTTGAAAGGGTGTACACTCCAACTATATTGAGTGATCGTGAATAGTTTACTACATTTGCTATAAGGGATAAGGCAATATTTTACCTTTACTGTTAAATTTTAACAGTAAAAATAATTTACAATAAAGATAAATATAGTTTTACACATAAATACTATGTTTAAAGTATTTAAACAGTGAAAATAATAATAGATGTCTTAATTTTCCAGTTGTGTTAAGAGAATAAAATGAGATCTCTGATACAATAGTACTTGTGAGAGTATAAATCAGCTTTTATACAAATGAGCTGAAGTAAAGACAGTATAAGACTCTGAGTTTTGAGTCTTCTATGGAGATCTATCCCTACAAGGAAACAATTTCCTTCATATTAAATTTTATTTGCAATATACTGAGCATTCTTATTGATGACCAAAAGTTTGTCTTGCTCACAAACATATCATTTATTCTATTCAGGAGCCAAAATATTTTTCTGGTGGATTGAAGTCTTATGACCTAGTTAACATCATTGGGAAAATGTGATCAAACTTACTTATAAGCATCTTTGGCAAGAATAAATCCTGACAGAGATAAACACTTGGGAAAGACTCTGCTTCCAGAGATATATGTTTAAAAGTTTTACTTTGAAAAATTTCATCACCTAACATTTTTGTTTCTTGATGCAATAGGCTTATTTTAGATAAGTTTTTTCATTTGCTAAAGGGAAGGAACAATCAGCATTTAATCATTCATCAGGAGAACCATTTCCATCATTTCCTTTGGCTTTAGATTTAAAAATTTATTTTTAACTGTAGTAGTTTATTCAGAAGGCCTTACCAACTATGCAAAATATTCTCCTATCACCTTTTATTTTTCTCTAATCCATCTGATTTCACATGGAATACTGCAGAGCAGCATGTTGAAATATAGAGAATCAAGTTTGTTTTGGTAAATGTCAAGAGTTTCATCTTTTATAGCTTTCGTTTTTCAGCATTTTCTTTCTTTGGAGTTATACGAATCAGGCAGCCCAACAACTGTGCAAGAAATCCCCTGGAAGTGCTCCTAGAAGCTCTTCCTCATATATAGGGAAGCTCCTGGAGGAACTTCCAGTGTGGCTGCTCTCTCCCTTCTGCTCATGGAACTGCATTCTGCTCATACCAGGGCAAGTATTTGCCCCGCCTGCACATTGTTAAACAAACAAACAGAAACAAAATCAAACCATCTTATGACCCTACCTGTAGAATAAAGAGAACTTCTTGCCTAAACCCACACACCTGCATTGGAGTTTCAGGATGGGGCTGCTGGTCTGTTCCTGCCAAGGTGTTGGAAGCATGATCCTGCTTTATTGTGGCATTACATTATGATTTTGTTTCTCATATTTAAAATTTTAATTTAATAATCTTTGAGTGGCAATACAGTACTATGGTTCAGATATTAAAATAATATAAAAGGTAAACTTTGAGAAGTCTTGTTTGTACCCTTGACCCTGTCCACCCCATTCCTTCCACCCTCTGCCTCCACTTTTCATTGGGTTTGCCTCTCTCTCCTGAGTAATACGATTTGTTAAACCCAAGATAATATGTAACCTTTGATAGGAAACCATGCAATTTGACATGAAGGCAAATTAATGGCTCCTTTTTTTGAATTTGTCTCTACTGAGGTATTTTCTCAAGAGATTCATTAATAACATTGCCAAGGACAAGCAGTTGAGTGCTCTGTACAGGGCACTCTTGGCAGAGCTAAACAATTTAAAAATTGTTTCTGACTCCTGGAAAGAGTAACACAATTCCTGTGCCACTCCTGAAAAGTCATGGGATTGAGGCAGGAAGTTAGATCTCCCACAGGCAGCCAAGATAAGGGCCTTGGAGAAGCCCAGGAAGGAAAGGGGACTACATACCAACATGAAAGGGGATATTGGGTCTGAAAGACATCCTGTGACTCGCTGTTCCCTGCCAGCATTAAGCACATGCCTTCTTCTGACCTAGAATACCCGCTTGTGTTCCTCACAACAGCAACCACAGCAGCCCTTCCTTATTACCCTTGCCCTTACCCCCCCGCAAGGGTCTACCATAAGCAGACCCCTATCCAAAATGTTTCCTCTAACAGACATGACAAAAACTATCAGATAAGACCCATCCTAATGATGTAAATAAGAGATTAAAATCATGCATTTGTGATTGGCTTATTAAACTCAGAGTTCAGAGAGCTTGATTGGTTCATGCTAACATCTCTCACCCCACCAATCACCTGTGCTGGGCCATCAGATATGCCTTTTAAAACCCATAGATTACAGATACCCATTGGTATCCTTCTCTTGTGGCCCCTCCCCTCTGGGACCTCTGTTTTATTTCTTTCTGTTATTATAATAAATTTTGTCACTTTACTCTCACCCTTGTTCTTGTGGATTTCATTCCTCAAATTCACAAGACAAAGAACCAGACTGCCTAGATCCAGTGTTACAGGATGTTCATGTTCTAATGAGATACATGGCTCCTTTATCTGGAACGTATTCAGCCACCAGGGCTTGGCAGAGCTAAACAATTGAGGGAAAAGTGACCTTATAATCCCTACGACATCACTTTTAGAAGAGAACGGGGAGAAAGTAATTTAAAAATTGAGAAAAGTCCAATTTTCTTACTTACCTAAATTCTAACACATGGATCTCTTTGAATCCTGGCAGCTTCTTAAATACCTTTTGCATCTGCAAGAGAGAAAGACATTTATGAAATATTCTTTGGTTCTACTGGGTCAGATCTTACCTATCTATAAAAGCCTAAGTACTTTTGATGATTAGGGGAAAAAAGGAAAATGAAAATTGAAATAATGAAAGAGGTCAAACTTCGTTCTCAGTTATTTCTGAAATCCAGAGGAAAGTGTTTTGCTATTTATTTAAAAGCCATAATTGAATAGTTCTGACCTGTTTTAATGGCTACTTTACATAATAACTTTAATGTGGTATTTGGAGGAAACATTTTGGCTACAGGATTTTCACTTACATAGTAATAATATATTTTCTGACTGTATAACTGTAGTGACTATAATGTTTTCACTACAATATTATATGAATTGAATTAGATGACTTGGAAAATATCTATAATAATAAAGATGATATTAAATTCAAAATGGCTGCTATACTTAAACAAAGTGGTAGAAACAGACTGTAATAGATAGGTTTGCTCTTAGAGTCAGGTAGACTGCACAGGTTTTCTTAATTAATTTGCTCTTGTTAATGATACTTGAGGAGGATTCTCTCCAGGCTACTCTCTTTGGCTCTCTCCTAATCCAGTGGCATTTCCCATTACTTCTTAACAGAGTCCTGCTCTTTCCTGGTTCCTTTACCATCTCTCTCACCACTGTCTTCTTTGTTCTACCCTATTCCTTTCTTTATTCTGTACTTTAAATACAAGGAGTCCACATGTCTCCATCCTTGGCCTCCTCAGCTTCCTCATCTTTCTTACTCTCCTGTTTATTCCACAGTAGGCAGTGTGTTAGGCTGTGGGGACACTGTCATAGACCAGTATGGCCCCATCCAGGTTTCCTGCGGGAAGGCCAAGAGACAAGAGACTCTAAGAGTAAGGTGTAACCACTTGATGATAAAGCTTGGGTGGGTGAGCAGGGTGAGGGGTGAAGAACTCTGCCCTGGCTTCCCTTCCCTGTGCCCACTTTTTCTCCCTCTTGGGGGAATCCCATTTTCTCCCATGGCTTCAATGATCACCTGATACATGGCCTTGAGTTCTCATGAATATTCCAATATTTGTCACTAACTAAATCTTCCCAAATCGGGGTCATTCTCTTTCGCAGATCTGCCTTTTCCCCTTGACTCCTCATCTCAGTCAGGGTCAGAAAGGACAGAATCCACAGATACCCTCTCACATGTAGCCATACACTCCTGTTAGTTTGAAGCTCAGGATGTCTTTTGCTTTCACCACATTCTTCTTATTCCTGGCTAGTTCTCCTGCCCTATTACCTCTCTTGCATTCCTGAAAGGGTTTTCTGAGTATGTGTGAAAAAGGAGGAGAAATGGTTCTTTGAGTGCCATTTTTTTTCAAAGTGAGTTAAGCATTCCATATCTGTTGCTCTTCATTAAAAATGAAGTACAGACTGAGGAGTGGGATAGCTGGTTCAAATGGGGTTCCATTCCAAGTTTTCTAAGGAATCTCTATACTACTTTCGAGATTGGTTGCACCAACTTGCAGTCCTACCAGTAATGTATGTGTGTGCCTTTCCCGCCACATGCTTGCCAACACTTTCGTTGCTTAAAAATAGCATACTACAATGACACAGCCACATCAATATTTTTAGCAGCATAATTCACAATAGCTAAATTGTGGAACCAACCTAGATGGATAAATGGATAAAGAAACTGTGGTATATATACACAATGGAATACTTCTCAGCATTAAAAGAGAATAAAATTATGGCATTTTCAGATAAATGAATGGAGTTGGAGATTATCATACTAAGCGAAGTAAGCCAATCCCCCAAAAGCCAAAGGCCAAATGCTTTCTCTATAAATGTATGCTGATCCATAATGGGGGTGGGGACATGGGAAGAATGGAGGAACTTTGGATTGAGCAAAGGGGAGGGAGGAAAGGGAAGAGGGTAGGAAAGATGGTAGAATGAAATGGACATCATTACCCTAGGTACATATATGATTTTGCATGAATGGTGTGACTCTACTTTGCATACAGAAAAGTGAAAAATTGTGCTCCAGTTGTGTACAATGAATTGAAGAACATTCTGCTGTCATATATAGCTGTTTAGAACAAATAAAAAACATACATTTAAAAAATCCTGTAATGGGATGCACTGTCTGTTGAGTAAAGTCCAATTCTTTAGAAAGGCATTTCAGAACTTCCTGAATCTTATCCCCCTAGCCCAGCTGCCATACCAGTCACACTTCTTGCCTTCATTATCCCTTGACCAATATTGTCTCCTCTAGTGACATTAAACTGACCCTTGCCCTTCTCCCATCCAACATGCACTTCTATTTCTCTAGGTACCTATGTTATGGATTCTTTTTCTTTTTTGTTTTTGGAGGTAGGTACCTGGGATTGAACTCAGGGGCACTCAACCACTGAGCAACATCCCCAGCCCTATTTTATTTTTAGACAGGGTCTCACTGTTGCTTAGTGCCTTGCCATTGCTAAGGCTGGCTTTGAACTTGTGATCTTCCTGCCTCAGCCTCCAGAGCTGCTGGGATTATAGGTGTATACCACTGCACCCAGCCTGGATTTTTTGTTTAGCCCAAGATGACCCCCCATCTTCTGCTCATTGACTGCTTCCCCTGCCCATACCCATTTGCAAAGCCAGCTTGAACATCTTCCCAACTGGAAAGCTTTTGTAGAGTTCCAGGATTAGGTGAAGTTACTTCTTTCCTCTGCACTCTAGATATTATTACAGTATATCACACATAGGTTTGTAAGGCACATATCAGTTTCCTTCTGAGATCATGCTTCTTAGCTGCACAGATTATGACTTGCGCATTCATTTTTACCTGCTTTGTTCTTAGTTTCTAGCAGATTGTCATTCACATAGTAGGAACTCAGAAAATATTATTTGAATTGAGTGTATCTCTTTATTCTCTAAACTTGTCAACATGTCACTGTGTAGTCACCAGATCTAAAATTACTGCTGACTCTACCTATGCCAAGGATGAGAGCAGTGATGGACAGATAATCCCCAAATCACTCAAATTGGGCTTTGGGCTGCATCATGATATTTTTTGCCCCCAGAAGACTCATTTACCTTCTGATTACATTTCCTTGTATCAGTATTAAAAAGAGTTTTCCTTTCCTGCATGTATAGGAACTGCCATGGTGGGTGATAAGAAGAGCCTTGTGTAGACCTGCGTTAAAATAGTGGTTCTACTATTTCTTTTTTAGCTGCAAGACCTTGATTTTATTGCTTAATCTCTGAATTTTCATCTTCTTAGCCCAAATGGGATAACAATACTGATGCTACAAAGTTGCGGTAAGGAATATCTAACAGGTAATAGGTGCCTGGCTCACTCTGGCAGAGTTGGTGACACTAAATTACTTATTTGCCTATACTCTACCTTGCCTACTAGATTACTAGGGACTTTGAGGGCCTAATTTTCTTTTACTTTCCCAGTGACCACACAGCATGGAAGCTAGCAAGGGCAGAGTCAGATTTCAGACTTTTTTTTTTAACTCAATAGGGGAGGGCAGGGTGAGGGTCCCTAGAGATATCAGGGACAAATGGCCTGGTAGTAAGTTTCTGTGCCTCCACCTCTGTCCTGCTATGGGTTTAACAAAGAACTAGGACTCTGAGCTCTGTAAAGCTGACCTTTTATTATAGAGCGGGAAAGGGCTATATGTACATACTTCAGATCTGCTTTGGTCTCCTGGCTACAGGGAATTTGTTGTGCTGCTCCAGTAATAGCACCAGGGGCTGAAGGTTTAAATGTGAGCTAAAGTGTTTAGAGCAGGAGAGTCAGAGAGAGCTATACATATGAAAACAGTCAATCAAGGAAAGAATGGCCTCTGTAGAAGCAGTTGCTGCATTGACAGCAGGGAACAGCACTGGGGAGAGCTGTCCTGCCCTCCAGGAATGCTCCACAGCACTGGCTCTGGTGGAGAGAATTTATTGTTTGTGTCCATGCCCGCTTTGTGAACCTGTCTGCAATTGATTAAGAATCAGCTTTGCTTAGGAGGGTGTAGACAGTGTCTAGGGAGGATACGACAAAAGCCTTCAGTTAATTCTGCTAAGTAATCTTCTGGGGGACCTTCCAATCATGGAGCTCTAACCACTTAATTGCTAATTAAGTGCCCAGTTAACCTATTAATAACACTAAATGCACAGGGGTCTCCCTGAGTCTGCCGTAACGGGGCTGTAAAAAAAGCAGCTCTGTTGAGTTCCCAGTGAATTGTTTGCACAAGAGAAAGCATTCAGACAACAGCTAAGTGATTCCTTTTGACATTTGTATTAAATTTCTCATTAGGTTTATTGTGGAAATTAAATTACAGCAGAGCACTGTCCATTAATTCCTGATGGGCCTGACTGGTTGTGCTAATGTAGCTTTGGGTTGTGGTGGGCTGACTGGTTGTCTGATGGCAGGCCTTGAGGTGGTCCTGCCCAGGAGCCTGGGAGGAGAACAGATGCTGTAAGCAGAGGCTCCATCTTAAAGAAACCCAACTGTTCAAAGGGAACCAGCAGGAGTAAGTTGATGGGTCTTTGAGTTCAGACTGGCCAAGATATCCTCTTCTGTACCTGGCAAGTTTTTCAGAGACTACAAGGAGGGTGCTCTTTTGAGGACGATGCAACAATAGTCCTTTCCTCAACAATATTTATTTGGGAAAAATTAGGAAGTGTAGCATAGTGATTAAGAGCAATGGTTCTGATGCCATATGTCCTGGATTGAATCTTGGGTTTGCCAGATAACAGATGCCAGATAATATCTTTGGAAGATAATAATTAGTTTTATTGTGTCTCAGTTTTCTCACCTATAAAAAAGGGAAATAATATTACTTACTTATGTGATTGTGTGAAAAATCAAAAGAGTTAGTATCATGTAAAGCATTAAGAACAGTGTTCACTATTATTTCTTTTCACAGTAGTTAAAAAGCTAGACTCAGAAAGGACTTTGAGGTTATCTTTGATTTCTAAGACTGGGGAAAGCATGATCCCCAAATGTTCAATGCTAATTCTTGGCACAAATGGGAATTGAAACTTAGATTTTAAAAATACCTCAATGTATTTCTGTTATTTTCCATTTAGGTGCTTAGAAAATTAACAACACGTGAGTGAAGAGTCTATGGCCAATTATCTGACTTTGAAGATACTTTGAGTATATTAAAAATTTGCCAAAAAGAATGTTTCAAAGAACACATGGAAAAGTTAACAAACTTTTAAAAGCTCATTCTGTCTAATAACCCATATCTAAGTACTTGTGTGGTTCCTAAGCTGAATATTTCTCTTTGAAGTTTTATAGAAATGATGCTTTGTATTTTATTGACTGAATGCTGATGCAGAGTGGGGTTGGAGGTTAAGAATATTTCACATCTGCATCTTTTCTCTGGGTGAGAAGAGATGAGTATTAAATTCTTCAAACATGAGAAGCAGGTGCCCTTTTGTTCTCTGGCCATGCAGAGTAAGATTCATGCACACTTGGGCTATCCATAAATGTGGTTCACAGTTATATAATCTCATGGTGCTTCTATTTTTCAGAGGCATTTATAACAATTACTGTCCCAAGCTCTGCCTTAGGAGGTTAGGCTTCAGAGGTTAAACAATTCCTGCTCTTGAGGGGAAGGAAGCTTATACCCTGGTGGTGGTGAGGGTGGTTTGTGAGGAGGGAAGAATAGAGATAGCAAAGGCATAAACATGTAAACAGTGACCTCAAGACAGGGTCATCAGTGATGTGACAGCAGTATACTAGGTTTTGTGAACCTGGCAGACAGGTACTGAAGTCAGAATGGGTGGAGGGAATCCTCTGTGACAGTATACCTAAAATGAGGCTTGGGGAAGAGCATTCTGGACCAACAAGGCAGCATATATAAAAGCTAAAAGTGAGGAAAATTTGCAAATAGTTTTGTATTTCTAGAAACTAGAGTGCAAAGGGGAGGGATGAAAGAAACTGGTGTAAAATGGGGCTTAAAAGGAAGGCAAGGGCCTTATCACAGCTTGTAGATACTACACAGCAGAGTCATTGGATTTACCCTGTAGAAAATAAAACAGCATTTGAATTTAGTCAGGGACAGACACATGTGATAATTGATGACATGGACAATATAATTGCTTTCTCCTTATCACTCATAAAAAATGTCATGTCTTTCAATTCATCAAACTGTAAAATGTAAATATTATGTCGAGACAAAGATTGGGTATTAGAATTCATATTTCAACCCACTATATTGTCTAGTTGGTGCCTATGTAGTCATTTTATTTTATTTCTTTAGAATTGTAATCCACATCACTGATATATGATTGACATGGAAAGAACTGAACATATTTAATGTATACAATTCAATGAGTTTTGAGATGACTATATACTCATGAAAGCATCATCATAATGATCATTTAGACATATAGAATTTCTGCGGGTATCAGTTAAATGAGGTTTAAAAGCCTAATACTGTTTAAAGAAAATCTGAAGGTAAATAACATTTAAGAATGGAAAAGATAGAATGGACAATTTGTGCACATTCTAGGACTTATTGTAGTGTTTCGTTTCTTTTTAATAATTAAAAATGGATGCCTGGTCACAAGAAGTTGCAACTACTATCCCAAAGGGTATGTGTTCTGTTAACTCCCACACTCTGAGCCACTGTTGGGATATAGTTGTGTGGCACTGTCCACTCACCTGCAGCTGTGACTTTCCTGCCAGCTCCTGGTAGTAAGTGGAGTGGGAGTCAGCAAGCTCTGCCTTGAACTTCTGGTTTGGCAGAGAGATGCTGAACTCCACCCTCTGCTCCAGTGGGTCCTCCTCCAGTGGGTCCTCCGAAACATTAGTGAGTTCAGTCTCTTGTTCCTGAGTCAAAAAATAAGGATTCCTATTAATGTAAGCCAGAAACACATGCTATATCATATAACATATTGATACTGTATCTAGAGGTGTATTATGCAGGCTCAGGTGCTTTTAGATGAAAAGTCTTAGTGACCAGAGGAGGTCTCTGAATTTTGTGAGGAATTAAATTAAGTACTAAAGCTCCAATGAGTTAGCTATTATAGAATCCTTGAGAACACTGTTATTCTATGACTATGTGATCTTCATGAAAATATTTATATATATATATATATATATATATACACACACACACATAACACTTCTCACCATATATATCTTTTCATTCATCATGCATGAAAAATGTCATGTCTTCTTCACAGAAGAATATGATCAATTAACAAATATATATATATATATATATATATATATATAATCAATTAACAGTCAACATCTCTAGCAATTAGAGAAATGCAAATTAAAACTACACTGAGGCTGAGGCAGGAGGATGGCAAGTTAAAAGCCAGCCTAGCAAAGGGCAAGGCACTGAGCAACTCAATGAGACCCTGTCTGTAACTAAAATACAAAATAGGGCTGGGGATGTGGCTCAGTGGTCAAGTGTCACTAAGTACAATCCCCAGTAACCGCCCCCCCACCAAAAAAAAAACCCATACACACAAAAACCAAAAAACTACACTGGAATTTCATATTACTTCAGTTAAGAATGGCAATAATCAAGAATAAAAGTAATAATAAATGTTGGTGAGGATGTGGGAGAAAAGGCACACTCATACATTGCTGGTGAAACTGCAAGTTGGTGCAACTCCTCTAGAAACCAGTATGAAAATTCCTCAGAAAACTTGGAATGGAACTACCATTTAACCCAGTTATCCCACTCCTTGGTATATACCTAAAGGACTTAAAATCAGTATAATATAGTGATATGGCCACATAAATGTTTATAGCAGCTCCATTCACACTAGCCAAGCTATGGAACCAAACTAGGTACCCTTCAGCAGATGAATGGATAAAGAAAATGTGGTACATATACACAATGGAATATTAATCAGCCATAAAGAAGAATGAAATAATGACATTTGCAGCTAAATAGATGAAACAGAAGACTATCATGCCAAGTGAAATAAGCCAATCTTAAATAAAATTATACTCCATCTATGCATAGTATGTCAAAATACATTCTACTTCATGTATAACTAAAAAGATAAAATAAAAAATAAAAAATGTCATGTCTTAAAATTGATCAACATGTAAAACTGGAAATCTTATGTAGAGACAAAGTATTATGAGTGAAAAATTTGTATTTCAATCCATCATATTCTCTAGTGGTGCTTAAGTAGTCATTTTATATTATCATATATATTGATGGTGCTTCATTAGGATTGTACCACATTGTTGTCTGACTTAGCAATATTTTTTGTTGAGGATTGGATTAGACATGGTAACCTGCAGATAATGAGATATTATTTAATAGTCCTTTGTAGAGAAAAATCTAGAATTAATTAGAACATCTGCACTCAAACTTCACATTGAAAATAAAAAGTCCTATCAGGCCAGAAGAGAGTATGAAATTTTTTTCAGAAGGAATGACATATTTGGGCCACCTTTGGAGGCATGTGGCTGAGAATGGAAATAATGTTCTGAAGATGGGAATTTGATCTTGATCACAAAGGGCCAGGGGTAATCCTTCTTGCCTGTTGGCTTGGAAACCAGCAGGGGTGGCTCAGTGCCTTGAATGCACTTGAGTCCCCAGGATACAGAGTAAGCCTGCTGCTGAGTTTCCAACTTGGGGTTGTCAGATTTTCTGAGTACTCAGACGACACTGACAGCTATACAGCTTTCTCAAAAAAGTAAGAAATATGACTGTAGAAAATTGAGTGGGTCTCTGGTCTAATGAAATTAGAGTTAAGGGAGCTGAAAAAAGAGAACAACCATGAAGGACAGAGATGAGCTGGCTGGTGGCAGACATGTCCTCATTTCTGGCGACAAGGTCTCCTCTTCCATGGACATGAACAACTGGATGACCTCCAGCTGTAGTGGGACACATAGAGGATGTGGGTTCACATTTAATCAGCTCCTGACAATTTATTTAGAAGAATTTCATCCATTCATTTAAAAATATCCACTGAATATCTGTGTGTATCACAGTGCCATGATCTATGGGGCACTAAGAGAAAAGGATGGCATCTGGTATTATCCTCTAGAAGCTTAACATTCATTAGGCACATTTGAAATTTATATGAATAACTAATTAGAAAAAATTTAAAAAATTAATTAAAAAAAGAAATTCACATGAAACAAATACATTTTAAAAATGTATTACTGAGAAGTTACTCTCAGCCACTTAAAGTTTTCATTGTCTTTACTGTTTAAAGATTATTTTCATTGACCAATGATAATTGTATATATTTATGAGGTCCAATGAGATGTTTTGATATATAATTACAATGTGGAATGATTACATCAGGCTTATTAACAAGTCCATCATTTCAAATACTCATCACTTTTTTTGTGGAGAAAACATTTAAATCTACTCTTTCAGCAATTTTGAAATATGCAATGCAATATTATTGATTAGAGTCAGCATTCTTTGCAATAGATCACTAAATTTTCCTCATGTCTAACTGAAACTTTGTGCCCTTTGATGAATATTCTTCTTTCACCATCCACCCATCCTTCCCCAGACTCTGTGTTGTTTATAAAAAACATATATGAAGTGGATTAGATTTTCATCCCTCTCCCTCACCACCATCAGAGACTCCCTATTATCTATGGGTTTTAAAACCCAGACTCTCTTTCTAGCATTTAAGGCTCTCCATAGTCTTTTTCCAGACTGCTTGAAAAAATTGTCTCACTTCTCCAGTCTGACAGATTGCCCAGAAAGAGCATGTTCCTGCTAGTTTCCTCATTGAAGAGCCTCCTCACTTCTCCCCATCTTCAGCAAACACACACACACACACACACACACACACACCACCCCTCCCCCACATTCACACATGCTTTTTTGCTTCTTACCAATAATTCATGATATGTCTAAAATAATACTTCCTCTGACCTCCTAGGGTCTAGAAATCTTTGCCAGCTCTGTACTCCTGTAGCACTGACAGTTAGAACCCTTCAAATACTCACCTGGAGTCTTTTTATGTACAAACATTTTTGCCCTGCATGATTCTCATACGCCACTGAATCTTTCAAACCAAAAAACACAGGGACAGTTTATACACAAAACTCAGTGAATATACATGACTAAGGATTGTATCCCATGCAACCTGCCTGGTTTAATCATTTGGTCTCAGTCTGTATACCTGCCATCTTCAATCAAAATTTTAGACTATTTTGTTATATTTAATTGCATTATAACTTCATAAAGGTAGGGGCTGTGTCTTGCTCTTCTTGGGATCTTTGGTGCACAGTCCAAAGCATATTCTAGTAAAATGTTTGCTGAGCGAAGAAATCGGTGATAGATATACAATAAAAAGGTTAAGAAGTTAAAGTGATGAATACTGAATGGAATATTTGGGGGATATTTACACAGGGAGGGGCCAATATTAGATTTTGAAGAAGATGGGATATAAGTCATATGAGAAAAATGATCAACTAGTCATCTTAGACATTTTATAGTAAATATATTTGGAATTATAGTCAATTATTTTTTTCCCCACAGTACTTTCCCTGTTGATGAAGCAGGATTTTTCAGAGAAAAACAGCATAGTGTAGTTTAACCAAACCTGCAGACTTCTGGCCTAAAGGACAGAGAGAATGGCCAGCAGAATTCTAATTTTTGATTTCTCAGGCAGATCTGGAGAGACTGAATTTTCTGCCCTTGCCCTGCAGCTGACCTGTGCTTCATAAGGATGGCATGAAGGGTAGAGGTCTCCCAGGCCACGGGGGCAAGTAGGCATGGTTCCTCTGGCAATGTATCAAGGATGTGGATCCAGGTTCTAGTTTTCAATCCCATTTCTGTTCCCTTAATTGTCTGCTGTCCACCTTGTGCTGCCCCAACCTACCACTCATTGGTAATGAGGACAGTGTTTCCCTGCCTTGGCACTGGTGTCTGGGCTCCAAGCCTTTTGGGGAGCTTAAACATTTCCCTGTTTTCACAATCAACATTAAATTCTATAAAATCCTCTCATCTGCATACTTCTTCACTCACAGTATGACCATGCTCCTCTTCCTGAGAACATAGTTTCTATTTTTATTCAGTCTGATTTGAAGAGTTTTGGTCATTCTGATATTTATCTAACCTACCCATGGTGGACATGACTTTTTGTTTGCAGGGGGTTATATAGTGGAGAAGGTGATTCAATGATGGATTCACTCACTCTAATGCGTGATGAGCACCTACTGTTTGTAAGGTTCTGTTAGGTATTGAGGGGGAAACAGGCAGGTGAAGAGCTAGATTGACTCAGAACTTCTTACTGTTGTAGGCTTGTTGGTGTCATTGAGGCTACCGAGAATTTCATTGAGGTGTGTGTCATCAAGAGCAAGAGGAAAGTGCCCGACTGAGCCATTGGCAACATCTGTGGAAATTAGGAGAAAAAAAAAAAAAGACACAAAAATGAGACTAGAGGAATTTAAATTAGAACAAGGTCAAAATTCCATATGCCTTTTCTGTCATTCTGGAGTTTATAGATGTTAAATGCATTCTGAATTCATTTTTCTAAGGTCACATAAATATGTTCTTGAAGAAAATATAACCCATATTCTCAATTACAGTAAATTCTTCATTCTTCCTTCCAGTACCCAAATTTGGTGCACCCCCTACATATGATGCAGTTAAATGCTTCTGCCTAGTGAGATCTCATTAGTTTTTCTTTTTGTGATTACCTAAAATATGTGAAGGTAGATATTTACTTTGAATTTGTTCTTTCCCATGTTTTCTTACAACATAACCCAAGTCTTTAAAACTTAGATTGCTTTAGCAATCATTAGGGCATTGAAATTTTAATCATAAAATTCAAGAGATGAAAGAATATTGAGATGTTATCAATTTACCTGTTTTAGAATAGACCACCATAAACCGTGTCAGATATCTGGCAAATGTTTTGATATGTATAAAGATCTCATGGAATGGAAGTCTAGGTTCTAACTGAGAAAAGAAAAAATATTACTGTAATATAAATTTCCTACAATTTTATAATAAATTGTTATTAAAAAATTCTGGGAAAATAGTGTTATGATTAATTGATATACAGATAACCGAAAGTGTTTATCATTTGAATCTTAGGCAAACACATGGAATATATTATTTTCAAACATTAGAAAACAGGACATACCAAAAAGTGATATTATCTTTCCTGGCTCGCTGAGGAGTGTGTAGTGCCTGGAAATAAGCAGTTAAGTGGTCACTTGTCACTGTGAGGTTCTGTGAAGTCATTGTACTGTTATGGTTTGTTGTTCCTTAGTGAGTACAGGCAATGGGTATCAGAGTCATCTGGGGAAGGTGACTTTTTAAAAATATATATTTATTTATTTTTAATTTTTTTTTTGTAGTTGTTGATGGATAGACTGCCTTTATTTTATTTGTTATGTGGTGCTGAGGATGGAACCCAGTGCCTCACGTGTGCTAGGCAAGTGCTCTGCCACTGAGCCACATCTGTAGCCCAGGAAGGTAATTTAAAAAATATATATATTTTAAATTTATCCATAAAATCACACATACTTATGGTATTTCATATAAAGGTTTAATTACATGTATGCATTGTGTACTGTTCAAATTAGGATAAAAATGTCTCCTCAAACATTCATAATTTCTTTGTGGCAGAAATGTTCAAAATCCTTTCTCCTAGTTTTTAAAAAAATTCATAACAAATTATCATTATTTTTATAGTCATGATATGATAGAATATTAGAGAAGATGATTTTTTGAGGTAAGAAAAACATACATATCCTTCGACATAACAGCTTCTCCAAGTATGTGGTTCTTGGCATCTTCCTCTGCAACTCTAGATGAAAAACTCTGTTGAAGGTGTTCTGCATCCCTGGATTCCCTATAATGTCACCAATTTAAGGTGTTTTCAAGTTTAATAATTATCTAAATAATTGGTTAATACTAAATTTTTTGTTATGAAGATGCTTAGCTAATATCCTAGAACATTTTGGTTATTTTTGTATTATTCTACTTTATTGCCACGAAAAGAGAAATTATCCAGACAATTAAAATTAAGAGCAGTTATAAGGTAGACTGGGTTTATCTTCTAGTGCCTTTAATCCCCTTTGAAGATGTTTCATTCTTCCTTCACACCTAAGGTACCTAATAATATTTCCTATCAAAATGCAATCTCAGGAAACTATTGTAACCAAAATGTTTAGTTTACTTTGTGTAATTGAAAAACTCAATTTTTTTGTAGTAAAAGTCTGACCCTATTTAATGTTCTCCTATCCCTGAGAATGTTGCATTTACACTTTAAGAATTCAAGGTTCAGATCAAGGATATGAGAAGTTTAATTTCCAAATCATAAACGTATATATCTAAATTTTACTATAATTGCAAAATTTATCAGTATCAATGATGTAGGGGGCTGGGGTGAAAAGTGAGGCTTAGGAAGAGATAGTTTTCTTTTGGGTAGAGAAAGTATTCAAAGTATTCCTCTATTTGCAGTAAGATGTTCTATTCTCTTTCTGCATAAGATCATCACTGATGCCAAGCATGGTGAGAACTGTTTTCATTGCAGTTAGGATTTGGCAGTTCTTTCTGAGCTTCATTTTGGAAATTATCTCAATGCAGAAGTATTTGTGCATGAACCTCAACCTTGGGTGTCCAGGAGCACTGGAAAATTAATTTAAGAACCTTTGTTGCTGGAACTCAAATATATACCAGTGAAATATTATATCATTTGTCTACTGGTATCCTAAAGTTTCTTGTAAGAAAAAAATGCAAATTAATTTGTGAGAAAAAAGCTAATTTTAATTTACTCCTTAATTTATTCTACTAAATTTAATTTTATTACATAAGCTCCTGTCAGCTAAGATATACCAACTTCAACTTCTAAAAATAAAAGTACAAATTTTAATTCTCTCATTAATTTTGATTGTTTTCCAATATGGGAAATGAAGTAAGTGTGAAGGGTATTTTATAAAATTTCCTCCTATAAATAATGCTTTTCTGAAGAAGATTCATTATTAGGTATCACAGGTCAAATTTTATTTGCTTATAAGCAGAATCAACAACTATGTGATTTTTTTATTGTTAAGGAGTATGTTTTACTATTAACTTTTTTTTCCTATCAGTATTAACCTTATTTATTTTAAATATGGGAGGACATAAATAAAAGATCATGAAATAAATCAATTGAATTCAATCAATTCAAGAAGATACTATTTATCTAAAAGAGATGGCTAAAGACACTGTGGACTGGAGGAAAATTCTTAAGTGAACATGTTTTTATTTGTTTAAATTTATTTTTTATTTTTTCATTTTTAAAAATTTTGATTTGTTTTATATGACAGCAGGATTCGTTATAATTCATATTATACATATACAGCACAATTTTTCATATCTCTTGTTGTACAAAAAGTAGAATTTCACTATTTGTGTCTTCATACATATATGTAGGGTAATATGTCCATCTCATTCCACTGTCTTTCCTACCCTCATGCTCCCTCCCTTGCCTTCCCTGTCCTTTTCCCCTTTGCCCTAACTAGAACTTATATAATCCTCCCATAACCCTCCCCCCACAACCACATTATGATTCAGCAGTCTTAAATCAGAGAAAACTTTTGGCATTTTTTTTTTTTTTTTTTTTGGGATTGGCTAACTTCACTTAGCATTATTTTCTCCCATGCCTTCCATTTACCTGCAAATGCCATGATTTTATTCTCTATTAATGCTGAATAATATTCCATTGTGTATATATACCACCTTTTCTCTACTCATCTACTGAAGGGCATCTAGGTTGATTCCACAGTTTAGCTACTGTGAATTGTGCTACTATAAACATTGATGTGGCTGTGTCCCTGTAGTATGCTGTTTTTAAGTCCTTTGGCTATAGACCAAAGAGTGGGATACAGTGAAATGATGGTTCCAGTCCCAGTTTTTCAAGGAATCTCCACACTGCTTTCCATATTGGCTGCACCAATTTGCAGTCCCACCAGCAAAGTATGAGTGTACTTTTCCCCCCACATCCTCGCCAACACTTATTTTTTGTCTTCATAATAGCTGCCATTCTGACTGGAGTGAGATGATATCTTAGAGTAGTTTTGATTTGCATTTCTCTAATTGCTAGAGATGATTAATATTTTTTCATATATTTGTTGATTGATTGTATATCCTCTTCTCACTGAGAAGTGTTTATTCATATCCTTGGCCCATTTATTGATTGGGTTATTTGTTTTTTGTTGTTAAGATTTTGGAGTTCTTTATATACCCTAGAGACTAGTGCTCTATCTGACCTGTGTGGTAAAAATTTGTTCCAAAATTGTAGGCTCTCTATTCACCTTACCAATTGTGTCTTTTGCTGAGAAGAAGCTTTTTAGTTTGAATCTATCCCATTTATTGATTCTTGATATTAATTCTTGCACTATAGGAGTCTTATTAAGGAAATGGGGCTTAATCTGACATGATAGAGATTTGGTCCTACGTTTTCTTCTAATAGATGTAGTGTCTCCGGTTTAATTCCTAGGTCCTTGATACACTTTGAGTTGAGTTTTTTTTAATATTTATTTTTTAGTTATAGATGGAGACAATATCTTTAATTTATTTTTATGTGGTGCTGAGGATCAAACCCAGTGCCTCATGCATTCTAGTGAACATGCTAAGTGAGCGCTCTACCTCTGAGCCACAACCCCATCCCTTGAGTTGAGTTTTGTGCATGGTGAGAGATAGGGGATTATTTCATTTTGTTGCATATGGATTTCCAGTTTTCTCAGCACATTTGTTGAAGAGGCTATCTTTTCTCCAATGTACATTTTTGATGCCTTTGTCTAATATAACTATAATTATGTGGGTTAGTCTCTGTGTTCTTTATTCTGTACCATTGGTCTACCAGTCTATTTTGGCACCAATACTATGCTGTTTTTGTTATTATTGCTCTGTAGAATAGGTTAAGGTCTGGTATAGGGTTGCTACTAGCTTCACTCTTCTTGCTAAAGATTGTTTTAACTATTCTGAGTCTCTTATTTTTCCAGATGACTTTCATGAATTCTTTTTCAATTCCTATGAGGAATATCATTGGGATTTTGATCAGAATTGCATTAAATCTGTATAGTGCTTTTGGTAGTATGGTCGTTTTGACAATATTAATTCTGCCTATCCAAGAACAAGGGAGATCTTTTCATCTTCTAAGGTCTTCTCTTTAATTTTTTTTTCTTTAGCATTCTGTAGTTTTTGTTGTAGAAGTCTTTCACCTCTTTTGTTAAATTGATTTCCAAGTATTTTAGTTTTTTTTTGAGGCTATTGTAAATGGGGTAGTTTTTCTCATTTCCCTTTCAGAGGATTTGTCACTGATATACAGAAATGCCTTTGTTTATGTGTGTTGCTTTTATATCCTGCTACTTTACTAAATTCATTTACTAGTTCTAGAAGTTTTCTGGTGGAATTGTTTCGGTCTTCTAAGTATAGAATCATGTCATAGGCAAATGGTGCTAATTTGAGATCTTCTTTACCTATCTGTATTTCTTTAGTTTCTTTCGTCTAATTGCTCTGGCCAGTGTTTCAAGAAATATGTTAAATAGAAGTGGTGAAAACAGGCATCCCTGTCTTATTCCAGTTTTTAGAGGGAATGCTTTTAATTTTTCTCCATTTAGAATGATGTTGGCTTTGGACTTAGCATAGATAGCCTTTACGATGTTGAGATATGTTCCTGTTATCCCTAGTTTTTCTAGTGTTTTAAACATGAAGGGGTGCTGTATTTTGTCAAATGCTTTTTCTGCATCTATTGAGATGATCATATGATTTTTATCTTTGAGTGTATTGATGTGATGAATTACATTTATTGATTTTCATATGCTGAACCAAACGTGCATCCCTGGGATGAGCCCACTTGATCCTGGTGTACTATCTTTTTGATATGTTTTTGTATTCAATTTGCCAGAATTTTATTGAGAACTTTTGCATCTATGTTCATTAGAGATATTGGTCTGAAGTTTTCTTTCTTTGATGTGTCTACCCTATAATCTTGTAGTATCTGTGCAGGTTATCTGTACCTCACCTTGTTGTTGGGCTTTCAGATCCTGCTGGTGTCCCAAGATGGATGCTACTGCAACTATAGGAGGTGGTGACAATAGCAGGAGATAACTAGAGAGAGCAGATTCCCCAAGATGGATGCAACATCTTTCATTGATGGAGCTTAAAGGGAGGGCCTCACACTGACTTTAGTATGCCTGCTCCACAATGCAGCTGCTTCTAGGTTAGGTCCTGTCTGTTTTTCCAAAGTAGAGGCTACTGCATGGGGAAGGCTATGAGGATGACTGCAGTGTCTCAAGATGAAAGTGGGTTAGACCTGGGCTCCCAGGTAGTGGTGGGTGGGGCAGACCCAAGCTTACCTGTGGCCCTGGCTTCCGCACAGGTCAGTGAGGTGAGCCTAGGCCAGGCCTATGCTCTGGTGGGTGTCTGCTGGTGGCTGGATGGACTGGGGCCTACTCTGGGTACTGGCTGCTGCACATGTCAGCAAGGCAGATCTGGGCTGGGCCTGACTCTGGCAGGTGTCTGCTGGTGAAAGGATGGACTCGGGCCTACCCTGGGCCTGAGCTCCTGTGCAGGTCAGTGAGGCAGATCTTACTATTAACTTCTTATAATTGATATAGAACTAGATTTGTTCCATTATTAGCTACAAGTCAGTCTACAAATGGTAAACTAGTTGAATGTAGGAGAGATATTAAAATATAGGTAGTAGCTTTCTCTGAATATCAGTAAGTGAAGAATTGGGATGTTATCACTTGTTTAAAAATCTTAATTTTCTCGGTTTATAGATTTTAAGTTGTCAGCATTTGACTTTTAAGACATTACTAACATAAGTTAAAACCAAAGAAACTGAGGAAAACATTGCACAGAAGTTTTGTTTTTGTATTTGAAAATATTATTAAATTATAAGGGAAAATGGTAGACTACAATAGTAAAAATTGAAAGAGAATGTTCCCATATTTAATGAACACAGAAAAAATTGTTTTCTCTTTCCTTTTGGTAAACATTGAAGCAAATAATCATATACAAAACTGGCAAGTGTGCAATGGAAATTCTTATATTTTTGAACAATGGGCTATTTAAATTGTGACAATATTTTTTAGAAGACTAATTTGATAACATCCATTCAATGTTGTAGGAGCTTAGTAATCTACTTTGAGAAATGAGTGATTTCAAAAGATTTATACTTAAATATGTTAGTTAAACTTTATTTGTAATGGCATATAAACATTTAACAATGTTGGAATAGTTGATTACATTTCTACAGGATACAATAGGATATTAGAAGTTATTAAAATGATTATTTTGTAAAAGTTTTAGTGGGAATGTTCTTTATGTCCTGTTAAGTGGAAAAAATGATGCAACTCTAATATGGTTTCAATGACGTATAAACATAGTAGAGAACTGATGGCAGCAATGGGCTAAAATCCTCCATCTTGTAGGATAATGGGTAAAGGTTTGCTTTCACCTTTATTCTCTTTTTAATTTTCAAATTTTGAGCAATGAATTTAAGTTATTTATAAGGTTAGAACAACCAGTTAGAATTGGAAAAATACACTGTAAACTCTTGTCAACTTTGAGTAAGGATTCCTTTATAAATAACATGCTTTCGTGATTATTTAAATCAAGGTTCAGAAGCAGATGAAATGAGCTCTGAGCTTACCTGTTGAAAACACAGCAGTCTCATCAGGGTCTGCTAATGTCTTCTCTATAGACAGTTCATCGTTTCTATTAGCACAATAGAAAGAAAAAGTGATGAAAAGAATTTGATGACAATAGGGAGCCTACAAATTTGCCTATGCTGAATAGATCCAAAAAAATAGAGAAAAAAAATCACACTTTAAAAATGTATGTAACCTTTTTAAAAAATCACAAAAGTGTTATTCAAATAACTTCCCATTGAAGAAAAACTTAACTACCCTGCCCCCAAAATGGTTATGTCTGATGGCAAGTTTCTCTATAAGTATCTTGGCTTTGTCTGATCTTGGGGGTGGGGGTATTTCCATAGTAGGCAAAACTGGTTCGGGGGGCCTGATGTTATATAGCCTCTTTGTGTCCTTGACCTCAAAGGTAAGAGATGACATGATCTGTGACTGGAATATTCTTCCTAAAATCTCAGATCCTCAAACCAGCCAATCAAGGTAGTATTACATTTACTTACCTAATAAAGTAACTCTTGAGGTTACAGTAATGGGAAAGATTTAGGTTTTTGGTTAATAAAGGTGTATTAAATCTGTATTCTGGACCCACCAATTGCTACAGTGGTACCAACTGGGGATTTGGAAGTTGGTTGCTGTACCATGGATGGCCACATGGAAGATATTCCAGGGCAGGTTAAAGGTCGTGGTGGTAGAGCTGTTTGCATATCTAATGTGGGTACAGTTTAGCAAGATTTATCTGGAAAGGAGTAATTGTAGTTGTATCTTTTGAAACTTGCTGAAAGATTTATTTCTATAAGCTGTTAGATCCCAAGGGATTGTGTCTGTGTTAGTAAAATGTATTTGATCTAATTTTCTGTGGTTCATCATGATGGGAAGAATAAAAGAAATGGTTAGATATTCTGTTGTTAGAAAATCATCTGGGATGGTCAGAGCCCCCAGTACCACCTACATATTTCTGCCATACCCAAATTTTCCAAAGTGCTAATAAGTGTAATATACAAAATATCACCAATCATCCCTGCATGTGCTCTGACCAATAACAATGGATGGGGATATTGGTTTACACAGTCCAAATATAAGTTTAGACCATACTGGAAATTCCAACTAGCTATTCTTGCTGTTTTTTTTTGGTTTTATAAAATAGTAAATAGTTTTTATGTAGCTCATGTTTAAATTAATCCTCACTATATTAAATATTATAGTGTATATATTTAGACAAAATTTTTTCTTTCATTTTAACTTTATAGATCTTTATAGTTAGATCTCCTGCCTCCTATTATTACTTTAGTGTCTTTGTTTTACTTTTCTGTGAAAAAAAAAATGACAAAAGAGCGATTTATAACAGTGTTAGCTGTTGTACTAGTTACAAATCAACAGCCCACTCTGTGCAGGACTCTATGCAGGATGCTAGTTTCTTTATCACTTATGATTAGGTGTGATTTTGCCACTAAGCTCTCAACCTGTACTGTCACCTAGGAGCTATAGCTTGGGAAACTGGGCCACTCGTTTCTTCCACTGGCTTTTATTTCAAAGTCATCTGAAGTGGCAGATTTATGGGCTAGTCGGATGAGAAAAATTTCTCTTTTTTCTTCTTGGAAAGGTTTGAAATAAAAGAGAAATTTATCCCTTTTCTTTTTTCTCTCTTTTTTCCTACCTGGTGACTGCCACTAATATAAAGTGTTTGTCTTTTGCTCCTCTCCAGCAATGTTGGCAGGCGTAGGAATGGATGGAGGGATTCTGTTTCTTTCTCTTTCTGCCTTGGGCTAATTTTTCTTATAATTTTTAATGTTTCTTTATCCAGACTTGGTATATTCTGTTGATTTTTTTTTCTCATGGGTAGTCTCTGCTTTGCTTTCATTTTTTTTTTTTTTTTTGAAAATAAAGGAGTCAGTAAGTTATCATTTTATATTTAAATCAGAGGAGTCAATCTCTCTGTCTTGCAAATAAAGTTCAGATTCTAGTACTAAGACTTTCTTAAGTCATATATTTCCCTTCCAATAACTTACCAAAATCTGTAAAAGAGTGGCTCACCAGATATAACCGATTAGCAACCTATGTGAGAACTTTGCACATAGAAGTGTAAAATGTTTCCTCCCCTTAAGGAGTTTTTACTCTCACAGGAAAATGTGATGAAGCAAGGAAATGTTAAGTGAAAATTTAAGCACAGAGTACAAAGTCCAGCACAGGGAGATACAGCTGCAGGCTCAGGTAGGCTGTTCAGGTATCATAGGGAGGTTGGGGGTCTACCTGGAATTGAAAGAGAGTAGGTTTTGCATAGGTGGAGTGAAGAAGGAGGGTTCTTCTAAGCAACAGGGAAAGGTCTGGGGTCACAGCCCAGATAAACAGCCCATGATGTGTGCAGTGAGGAAGTGACTTGGGGACTGCAGTGTAATCACAGGTAATGTGAGTTAAGTTGCAAAGGTCAGAGGTGAAAGTTCTTAATTAATTAGTTTGACCTATGCTGCAGTGAAAGGCCTGGGAGGAAACAACTCACTAAGGATTATTGTGGAAAAAATATACAGCATCCATAAGAGACAGTGTGATACCCTGGGGCTAGCAACTATGGGATGCTTAAACCTTCCCAAGGCCAGGAGGGGTGAGAGGATACCAGGAACCAGACAAAGAGAAGGCTCTGTGGAAAGACCTGCCTGACCAGAACTGAGCTGAAGTTGAAGGAGTTCAAGAGCCCTCAGAGACTTGGCAGGTGCATGTACAGGCATGCATGTGCCCTGCTGCTAAATTCATGACCTCATTCTCTTCTCTCCCTCTGGTTTCTTCCTCCCCCTGGCTGGTCTAACCAAAAGCCTCCTGTGCACAGACGTGTGTGGAGAAGATGGGGAGTGGGATATTCAGAAGGGCAAGGGGCAGGTGTGAGAATCTTTTGAATGCCATTGAACAGGGCTCAACATGAAAAAAGGAACATTCCAGATTTATCAATCTAGCAGCAGTTAAAGAGGAGAAGGTGTTGGAGGAAGGGACATAACTTAGGGAGATAAGATTTGATGTTCACAGAGTAAATTAGTAAGATTCTGAATCAGGTATGTGGCAAAGAGAATAGAAACAAAGCAACAAATGTGAAACATAATATAAAGAATTTCTATTAATTCATATTGCCCAATTTGTGTTTCTCTTATAGTGTTACCTTCAGATTTAGATTTCTAAATGTTATAAACGGTATGTAATTTTTGAGTTTAGATTGTGGCAATAACACCTCTCTTCTTTAATCATTTTATATAATGTGCTTTCTTTTTCTTTTTTTTTTTCATTTCAATTTTCTTATTTGATATTCAGTTCTTGTTGAGGATAGAGCTCAGTGCTTCAGTAATTTAGTTTGAGAAATACTAACACTTTACAGAATACCAAGTGAGTGTTCAAAATTCAGGTTGCTCTCTGTATTAAATATTTTCCTGATGTAACCAATAGTTTACTATAAATTCTAAAAATCAAACTATTTTAATTGCTCTATATTTTATAAATACTTTTAATTGCTCTATATCTTATAAATGAAAATATTCATGATGTTTATCAGATAGTGATGAATTCCTACACAAATATCTATCTCAATCTATAAGGTTCAACAATTTCCCTTTTATATACTAATTTATCTTCAGTACAATGTAGGCATAAATTGTCAGAATAACCTACACAGATCTTGGTGGCTGATATAAAAATCATAAAGGTACAATAGCTTAGTGTCACTCCATTATATGATCTTTTGAAAGTCAGGAGCATGCTGAACTCTATTTTGGGTACTTACCTCTCAGGGAAGCTTCTCTGTTTTATTCTCTGCAAAGAAGATAAAAAGTAATTTTACCAGGAGATAATGCCAACTAAAGAGCTAAAGTCTATTTTCATTCTTTTCTCCCTTCATCTACACTTCAACCTGCCTGTACAACATTATTTTGCAGGAATAAAATTCCTATTGGTCTTATCAGATACCTCCAAGAATTTTCCCACTGCTGCTTGTGCTGTGGAAACCAATTCAAAAGGATCCAGGGTTGCAGGGCAAGGGGCAGAGTTCTAGATACCCACAAAGTGGTTAGGTTTACCTGCTGAAGAAGATCCAGGTGCTCCTGTGAGTTGCTGAAGTTTTTCCCAATGTCAAAGAGGCAGAAGGTCTCCTGCTGGCAGATGCTAACCCAGTCCTGGTACTCCTCAGTGTCAGGGATGCGATCCAGGAAGATCCTGTATGCTTCCCACACCACTTCCTGACACACTGCAACACAGAGCCATTAGGGGGTGGAAAATGGCCACATTTAAAGAAGAAAACCCTTCCCCCAAAGCATAATCTCATGATATGGAAAATTCTTTTATGGTTTATATTGACACACTAATTTATAGCCCATAGAAATTAATTCATTTAACAAAATATTTGTTAGACCCTTTCTATGTGCTATGGGAGAAAAAAGAATATAAGGAATGTAGCGTGTGCCTGTGTGTGCGTGCACATGCACAAGCATGCATGTGCAAATGCAAGTAAGGCTGCAATGTCAAATAGGGTGGATGAGGAAGACCTCACTATAAAGGTGACTTTTGAGCATTTGGAAGAGAAAGCACTCCCCCAACCCAGGCTCAGTGCTGTCACCATTCTGCAGAGCTGGTCTGTCAGTGTGGCTAGAGCATCACAGAATAATGGAGGATGAGGACTGGATGAAGATATGGAAAGGGGGTTACAGATTGTATAGGGCCTTGGAAACCAGTTGTCTCCAAACTGAGGTAGTTACCCTGGCTATACTAGAAGTCTTTCCAAGGGATGAACAGACAAATGGAAGTTTAAAAAAGAGTCAATTTCCATGCCTCATGTTCCCTGTGCATGCTTTCCTAAAAGGACATATCTCTCTTTTTTTTTCAGTTCCCTTTTGGTCACAATCCTCCCTCTCATTCATCCTTTCCTACTCTTATCAGGGTTCAGTACCTCTAGGTTACCATAGGAATGTATGGTTTTAAATAATGGCACTGAAACTGAGAAAAGGAGTGAACTTAGATACAGAATGACACATTTTGACCACTCAGGTGATTTCTGATTCTTTGCTTTCAACAAATTAGGAGTCCTAAGGGAGTTGACAGCTGGATAGATCATTAAGAATAATGATGACAGATCATGATGTATTATTGATATATAATGCCAAAGGAATTAAAGAAATAATGATATTATAATAAAACTTTGTTCCCCTCTATTTATTTATGTGAGCAAGTTTTCTTAGCACTTAAGTGAAATTAAGTAATATAATAGGAATAAAATTTATGCTAAACTCCATCTAATCTTAAAAGGCACAATATAAATAATGACTAATAGAAAACCAAAGCAACATCATCAATCTAGAGATAGACACTAAGGTAGCTTAAGCTACAGAACTGTCATTTATACTGGATCCTTCCAAAGCTTTGTAATTTGGCATTTATACTTTTGTATTTATAAACATAAACAACTACAAAACCTTTATCTCACCCTACATCCATCTGTAAATAAAATTATAAAGAAATTTGTCTAATTTTTATATTTTTTTTTTAACCAGTTACATGTTAAAGATTACTAGAAATGCAGCTGAATCCAGAAAATTTTATTTTAGACATAAACCCTAGATTCAGGGGAAATAAAAATATGTAATTTCAATGTTTATACTTTTTCCTTTTTTTTTACAGAGAAGTATTTGGAGCAATCAATAACATTTTAAAGCATAACATAAGTTACATTGAAATAAGACTGTTAGGGGGGTGGTAAAATAGAAATGTGGTGAAAAGGGGACCATGTAACATTTCCTTCTCTTAAGAAGAGTTTGTTTATGTATTTGTTGAAAGAATTCGATGGTTCAATAAGAGTATTCAGTGGATGTAGTAGATTCCACTGGATATGTAAGAATGATCCAGTTCTTGTTGTATTTATTTATTTATTTTGGACCAAGGATTGAACTTAGGGGCACTCAACTACTGAGCCCCACCGCCCCCAGCCCTATTTTGTATTTTTGTCTCACTGAGTTGCTTAGTGTCTCACCATTGCTGAGGCTGACTTTGAACTCACTATCATCCTGCCTCAGCCTCCTGAGCCACCTGGATTACAGGCATCCACCACCAAGCCCAGCCAGTTCTTGTTTTATTTTAAATATCGAAAGTTACAACATTTCTAGTTATTTAAACTTATGATGAAAAACTTTGCAAGGGGATCAACTGAAAAATGTACAAAGGGGAATAAAATGTTAAATTGTTTTGAGGAGTTAAGTTAGTAATCAATACAGAAGTCTCCTATTATAAAAGCAATTGTATAAGTGGATTTTTACCTCTGGAGGATGGGAAGCAGTTGAAACCTTTGGGGCAGAGGCTGACATCATCTGACTTTCTAACTAAGACTAGTTGACTGCTGTGCTGAGGAAAGGGGTGGTGGGGAGGAGCAAGGTAAGAGGACAGTTTGGAGACTCTTGCTTTTATTGCTTTATCTCCTTCCTCCCAACTTATTCTATGTCTGGATTTTCCCAAGCTTTCTGTTTTAAAAGGCAAAGGGAATTCCAGATCAGTAGAAGCTGAAGTCATTTACCAATAGAAACCAGATAAGAACCTTTAAGGTAACTATTTTTTTAATTAGTAATTCCCCTAGAGGGTGCAGTCCTACCAACTCAAATGTGCCATCTAGTTTCCCAAATGGCAGGATCAACATTCATGGGAGCAAAAAAGTAGCTTCCCCCGGGAGAACCCACTTTTTGTGATTATGACCTCTCTCTTGTCAGGCAAGGATCAGGGATCAGTTTCAATGTCTTTTTCAGTACCAGCCATCACATGGTTCTTGAGCCTTCATTTCTACTCAAGGGTCTACATGCCAGTCATGAGAGAAACAAGACTTGCATTTTTTTTTTCAGATTTATCCAAACTCTGAGAGTTATTTGTTCAGCTTGAGCAAGTCAACTGCCTTCACTACCCTTCTCTCCTACATACTCCATACTCTTTCTGGGGACTCTATTTTGCCCTTCCATTTTTTCCCCCAGTATACCTGCTAGTTTAGGTCAAAACCCATCTAAGTGCCAGAGATACAATGATATATGAAAAAAACTATCACTGCCTGCATGGTATGTTGACCCTTGACTAGAGTTGATCTGTGATCCCCAGTCTTGGCCTAGGCCTGAAATATGACCACAGAGGCCCTATCTCTCTGCTCTTTAATGTGTAGGCAGCACCCCAGGAAACACAGGCTCTGGAGGCCAGTATGGCTATCTATAATGGGAAGTTCAGCCCTGCAGATGGTTATTCACAACTGGGAAGAAGAATATGAGACCAATGGTGTGAAAAATTTAGGACTAAAAAAGCGTTTTCACACCATTAGTCTCATCTAATTCTTCCCAATTGTGAATAGTTAGTAGTAGTGTTCATGTTTACTGTGATTTGTATGCTTATGCTTCTATTTGTTAAACATCGAATGGGGCTGGGTACACATTCATTGGGAACACACACTGGAATGGGAATCAGGATGTTGGGTCCTACCCATGTTCTTCTGCCAACTGTGCCCCTGATCATGCCAATTTACTTCTTCAGATCTCATCTGAAACGTCTCTAGATGTTTTCCAGATCAGTGCCTCTACAGAACTTTGAGGTGTAAACAGATGACCCAGGGATCTTATTAAAATGCAGACTATGACAGTAGGTGTGGAGTGGGATATGAGAATCTACATTTCTAACAAGTTCTCAGCTGCTGCTGATCTGTGGACAATGCTTGGTGTAGAAAGATCCTTCCCATCTTTCATCCACTCTAGGTTACATGTCACCGAGGAAGAAAAATCTAGCTTTTGATATTGGAATGCAGGGAGAGTGGAGATAGGAAAGACAGGGAAAGCCTGGAGTGAGTGTGGTGGGGGTCAGAGGGGACACAACTATAAAGCAGGGAGCTTGGATGCTTGGATGGGGAAGAGCACAGAGCTCAGCCTGGAGAGGGCCAGAAACAAACTTCCCTTTTTTACTTGTGCTTTGGGATGAGCGTGAGCTCAGAGCATTTTCCCTTGTGTTGCTTTAAGCATTGGGAAAAGAAATAGCTCAATATTCCATTTGATTTAGGAATAGCGAGCTTTCTCCCCTGAGTTTGAAAGATGTCAACAGATAATTTTATAAAAGCGGTGATGAGATCGGTAAGTGGGTTACTCCATCAAAGGAACACTGTAGCTAGGTCTTATTTCTTGTTTCTTTGTGAACCAATTTGTTAGACTTAAGAAATCCACGCTGATGAATAGTAAAATTTAATGTCACCCAGGGACAGCTATAAAGATAATGGACTGTCATTGCTGTGGGGAGAAAAACAGTGGTTTGTTTCATCCAGGGAAACAAGAATGAAAGAGGCAAACCTAATCAAGAATAGAGATAAGAATAAAAATTCAGGACTAAAAATTAGGTTGCAGCAATAAATAGTCTATTCTTCAAATACTTGCAGTGAATCCTGTTTGTGAGTGTTGTAAAGAGTTACAAGTTACAAGAAAATAGTTAGCAATAGTGTTCATGTTCACTGTGATAAAAAACTATATATTTGTATGTTTATGCTTCAATTTGTGAATACTATATAAATTACCAGTGTCATTATCTGTCAATATATAGGCACATTCAAAATGAATAATTTATGTATTTCTCTCTCTCTGTCTTTTCTTTTTGCATTTTCAATGAATGGGATATTTGCCTTCTGTATCATCAAGAAGTATTTATTGAAAAACCGCTTTGGTAAGATGCTATGCCAGGACCTCAGAATATTTATATAGAGTACTTCTTTCCTACAACTGGAGTTCTCCTGACTATAACCCAGTACTTTTCAATTTTCTATGGATGTGGTTTCTATCAGAAAACAAATCTTTTTAATTCCACATAAAATGAGACACATGAGGAATTATAAGGCTTGATTTTTTTTTTGAAATTCTTAGTTGAGTATGCCTCCAAAATACAATAAGAACTCCTCAGATTAATTTAACCCTGTGCATGTTTTATAGATACAGACAGCCAGATGTGGTAGGATTCACTTGTAATCCCAGTATATCAGGAGACTAAGGCAGGAGAATTGCATATTTGAGGTCAGTCTCAGCAACTTAGTGAGACCCTGTCTCAAAATTAAAAAAAAAAAAAAAAAGAAGGTCTGGGAATGTAATAAATCTCACTGGTAGAGAACTCCTGAATTCAATCCCCAGTACCACACACACAAATCTCCCTCCTGTAGATGTAGACTTCTAAGACCTTTTTGGATGTTAGTATAATGATGTAAGTTTTCAGTCGTCAAAATACACAACATATCATAGGCTAGAATTGAGCCAGCTTGCTCTACTGAATGGGCTTTAAGTAGAGCAAGAAGGCTCTGTATTTTGGAATAGGTTCAAGCATCTAGAGTGATTAGGGTGGGAAATCTGTAATATAATCTCCTTAATTTCCATGTATAAGATGAGTTGAACTTAGGCTTCACAGAGATAGGTCCTTTGTGTTATTTGTGGCTACCCAGAGAAGTGAATAGCAGCTAGAGAAAAAACATTTTTTATTTTAAAGAAGCAGCTCTGGGACTTTCTTTTTTCATCTATGGTATACAAATAAATAAATTAAAAAAAAACTAGTCACGGATGGCTGTGATGGGATTTAACCCCTTAATGACTTGTGGGAATGCAGGAAGAATCCTGTTAAGCTGTCATGGGGTAGAAGCTGCACTGTGCCTCTGCTGGGAGCTGGTCATACCCTGCATTATGTCTTGGCAGTCACTCTTAATTAACTGTTTCCCCTCCACACTCCAACCTGCCTCCAGGTTTCCAAAAATTAGAAGTTTTTTTTTTTTCCTGGATTTGCAATCAATAGCAGGCTTGTTAAGGGGAGGGAGGGAGGGGGGGAGAGAGAGGAGAGGAGAGGAGAGGAGAGGAGAGGAGAGGAGAGGAGAGATCTGGATTGAAATGTTGCTTTTGAAAAATGAAATCTTAAGTCATAATTCAACTTGCTCAGATATCTGGTGTTGCAATCATTCTGTACTTTTCACTTCATACGAACAATATTAAAATTCAATATTGGCTTCAGCAAAAGTAAAACAAAGAGGTAAAATCTGTATATCAAGGCTCTCTATGACTTGTCAAGTGCCATTATGATCTCAAGTTGCACAGGACATTGTTTTAAATCACAAGAGATGATACCCACCATAGTTTTGGATGTTTACTATTCATTAGTATCAGATTAGTGGGCTGCTTTTTTTTTTCCTCTTGTGGCTAAATGAGAGTCTCAGGAAGCTTTGGGTAAAGACAACCTACAGATGAATGAAATAAAAGAGATGAAGAAAGAAAAAAAGCCTAAACAGGTTTCAGCTTTTTCCTTACCTCTCAATCTATAATAAGCTTGAAGACTGGCTAAAATCTGTTTCATGGATTCCTGTGGACAGACATTAACCCCAGTTGGGAAAAATGCTGATCTTTTTGTTCGAAGTTTTGCCAAATCAAATATTCGTCTCATGGTTGACACTTTGTACATTTTTGCAGTATTGTCAGCTGTTTCGATTCTTGGGGCATTGTCTATGTCTTTAGTTTCAGAATTGTATAATCTAATGGAGATATCTGTAAGAGAAAGATTATTTCCTGGTGAATATATGCATTTATGTGTTTTATGTGACATACATGGACAAATGAATGAAATATGCTAAAAATCATAATGCTTTGGCTTATAAAATACCTACTTTGGTGCACCTGCCAACTATAATATTCATAGGACAAGATATTTTCAGAAATAAGAGAATAGCATAATGAGCTGATCAAGTATTTTTTTTTTTTATAAAAGCCAACATCTCAAATCATCTTGCCTTTAGGAACTGCCAAATATTGAAACCATTTCCCACACATCTCTCTGAAAATCATTCCTCACTTAGCACTCAAGACTCCCAAGAGATTCTTCTTTCGATAGACATTATAATTCAAGTGGGGAATGATGGATCATTGTGGTACCCAGAGGTATACTCTTAGGGAGGAAATGGAGTGCTTCTAAAAACCTAGGAGAAAAAAATACAACAAAATAAACTTCCTGCCGATTAGTGGCAGCCTAGGATTTCTAAATGACAGGGTGCAGAGTGTGGCAAACAGGTTGAAAATTATTTGGGGCAAGGATGAGTCTTAAAGGTACTTTACAGAGAAAGCTTGCTTTTTTATGAGGGTGGTGAGAAGAAGGATGAAGGGGAGGTCAGAAAGAGGATCTGGTGGCAAATGTAACTGCCTAAGCTATTTCATGGTGCAGGCACTGCTGTGTCTATTAAGTTTAGAACTAGATTTCATTTTTAACTTTTTGGACCCCTTATACTGAATAGCTTACATTCCTGAGCACTTTTTAATTTTAAATTCTTCCACATGTTTTATTTTGTACCATTCTCACAAAAGCTTTATTATTTACATAAATATTATTTTTCTCAGTGTATCATGTAGCAGGATACACAGGCTCACAGGAGGCAGAGCATGTTTACAGTATAATGAAGTCTCGATTCCTTCTCTGGCATTTAATTTCTTCCTTTTTACTAACTCTACCAATTAAGAAAGGAAGCTTCTATGGACAATGGCCATTCAGTCTGGCCCCTTGATACTCCAAAGCACCTGGTTTATGGAGATACATATTACCATTTTAACTAGGGGAGGCTCTTTAACACATCTTCTGAAATGTGATACAGATGAGACAATCAAGCAGAAATTCAAGCAGGTCAGCTGGAAAGCAATTCAAATGTTGTTACAAAGAGTAAAAGTCTCTCCTTCATTATGGGGGGTAGAGAGGCCTGGTGGGAACATGTATTCTCTGTCACTTTGAAGGATCTCAGAGTCTTGGGCAGTGCTATTTTTTTTTTTTTTTTTTTAGGCAAGAATCCCCAGGAAGAAAGGAAGTTTAGAGATTAATTGGCTCTATCAACCCCACACTAGACAAATAAATCATAATTCCTGGGTAGAATACAGGCATCAGCAATTTTTGAAGATCCTCAAGTAATTTCAATATGCAGACATGTTTGGCAACCACTGTTTTATGGATCCATAAGGATGCTTCCAGATGCTTCCAGCTGGAGTCAAGATAATCCATCTCAAAATGGCTTAACCCCGGGAAGTTATTATCACACCCAAAGGGAAGCTGCAGGTAGGGAACACCTGGTGAAAACGGAGCTCTGGCTCTGGCATTCTGCACTTCCTTGGATTCTGCCCCTCAGGTGGTGACCTTATTCAATAAGAACTCCTTTATCTGACAACCCATGCATTCCACTTGCAGGGTTGCTCATCTGGCATGACCTTTCATAAATGCTCCTCAGTCCTCAGACTTCCCTGTGCTGGTGTCCTGAAGTCTTCTATGCTTCCACTGGCAGTGCTCATGTTTGTCCAGGCTTTCATACCAGAGGGTCCTTCTCTTCCATTTTTTTTGGGCTCCTACTTTTTTGCTAAAGACCAGCTGAAGTATTTTCTCTTTTAAGCTTGCTCAGATCCCCTGTGCAGAATTCATTCATATGTTTCCTCATGTTCCTCTAGTGTGGCTTATATTGCTATGGCATTTTCCGACTCACCAATGTTCTCAAATCCTTACTATGTTTCAGGCCCACTGTGGTATACAGTGGTAAGTTAGATGAACACATATCATGCAACTGATGTTGTAGTGCTTTTTTCTCCTGCTTTGAGTAATTTGTTGTAAATACGAATTTCCCCCTTTAGATTGCAAATGCCTTGAGGTTCTGTGTTGTCATCCCAGCCCTCTCTCCTCTCTTCACCTCAGTGCCTATTTAGTATGTAAAATGTTTTGTACACGACAGATATGAATATATATATATATATATATATATATATATATATATTAAGTGAATAAATGAAAAATGACTATAAAATATTAATGGGTTTTTAATGATATATGTATGAGTTAGATTTATTTTAAAAACCATTAGACCATGAAAAATAGCTTTATATGTCTGGCCCACTTACATTATTGCAATTTTCCTTTTAAATTTCTGCCTACTCTCCGGTATATAATATCAGAGGATTAGGACACAGATATATTAAATAAAGTTTAGTCAAAGAATTCTTTTGTGAATGAACATTGAAAGAACAGAAAGAAAATGGTTTATGTATTAAGTGCATATTGCTAACATCTGTATTCCCAGACACTTTCAATACATCTATAAATAGACAAATAATCAAGGAAACCAATTAGAAGTGTGGGTTTCAGTGAGAAAGAACATCAGTGTTACCTAAACCTTAATAATGACAACCCTGAGTTTATTTGCCCCTCAATGGTTATATCCAACCCTTTGCCTAGTCCTCACCTGCATCCTTGTAGCTGAGCGTGGATGGAGAAAAATAAGCATTAGAATTTGCTTTAAATTTAAGATCTTAAGTAAACTCATACTCCCTTTCTGTAGTCTGTTCAATGTCCCACTCTCCTGGAGAACTAAACACAATTTTTCTCAGATTTCCTGTACCTTCTTACTTATGTATACTTCCAGCTGATGAGTCCTTCACATTTTACTGAGAACAAGGTGAGCCAGAAGAGAACTTGCACATCTGCCCTCTGGCTGTACCAGTGCTCATGTACTTTGCTTCCCCTCTGTGGCTGATGAGGGGTGTGTGCTATAATCTAAGCTCCTTTACTTATGCATCCATCCTTGGTCAACTCTCAAGGAAATTCTTCCAGAAATTCTTGCACTTTCTTACATCATTACTTTTCCTCTTTGTACTGGATTATTCTTATATGTGCACAAACATGTTATTACTCTTCCTTCTATTATATTTTTATGTGGTGCTAAGGATCAAGCCCAGGGCCTCGCACGTTCGAGGCAAGTGTTCTACCCCTGAGCCACAACCCCAGCCCCTCTTCCTTCTGTTATAAAAGAAACAAAAAGCACCCTCTTGAAATTGCATTCTCTGTAACCACTGATTTACTTTTCAATTCATATTTACATCAAAACTCCTTGAAAGATCCGTTTTTGCCTTCTTATCCAGAACAAAGCAAGGGCCTACATAAGTGAGAATTCACCTGATATCACATGCGTAGCTAACAATACCCTTCCTTCTATTTCTCAGTGTTTCCTTTTTTAAAATTATTTCAACATTTGTGATGTGTTCATAGAGCCTGGTGTGACACTTCACAAGAATGGGTTGCTATAACCGTGAGGGTTGGGAATAGATTAAAAGACCACCAGTGGCTGCCTGAAACCTTTAATAGTACCAAACCCTATTTACACTATGTTATTTCTATACATCAATGCACAAATTTAATACTCGCTAACTTTTCTAGTTTAACAGCAAATTTGCATGGATTTCTTTTTCTCTCTTTATAATTCCATGAACAGAAGATTTGTTTTTACACTAGATCTTAGCATCCTAGAAACCACTGAAGTTCACATTATTTTCCCCCAGAGTCACTGAAGAGTTTATTTTTTCCTTCCTATACACAGTTTGGCCTCCAGTCACAGAAGGATGACAAAGTTTCTATTTCAGATTTAACTTTGCCCATGAACTGGTCTCTTTCTTGGTTATATATTCAAGCTGATAACTGATACAGCATTTACCAACCTGTTTGGACCTCTCCTCAGCACTAGAGAAATATTTTTTAGTTTTCTATTAGAGGCTTACAATATAAGGTTACTGTACACTTTTAGTGACAACAGTATATAAGAGGAATAGGAGAATGGAGATTTCACAACAGCATTGCTAAGAAAGCAACAGCCATTGATACAAAGCACTTAGCAAACCCATTATGACTTCCTGGGGGAAAAAAGCCTCAGTGTCTTAATGAATGAAGTAATGGGAGTGAAGACAAAACTTACTGGAATTTCTACAGAACAGAAATCTCAATTTGAAGAACAGAACTCCATAGAGACAACAGGGATAACATTTCAGGATCAAATCAGTGACTGAAAGTTTTCAGAAAAAAATAATTTAATCTTGCATAAACTTTTCTAATCTTACTAAAAAGAATGAAGGGTTGTGGCCTTTATGCAAATGTTCCACTCATGTGTGATCCAGGATATCCTGGTGTTCCCCCTACATTAGCAGATTCTCAATTATGCACCTGAAATTTTTTTCCAGATAGCAAAGGCAATTAAATATACATCATGCTTAACATACTTGAAAATGTATGAACACATTATGCAAAATTGCTGAACACCTTATTCAAGGCTGTTTCAGAAAGTTATATGGACTTTAAGCACTCTGTTTTCTGGATGATCAAGTAGAGAACATAGAAGTTTCTCCAAGTTGCTTTTCCATCTGTCCTCCTACATCCGATTCCCAATAAACTCACACAATGACAACCCTAGTCTGTGGCCTGAAAATCAAAATATGTTGGAATAAATGATGCAAAAAATGATAAAAGAAATTAAGAAAACTTCCAGTTACTTCCTTTAATAAATTATGAAGTAAGTAAACATTCACAACAGTCAGCCTGCAGGCCGATTATCAATGATGCATAGAGGAATGGCTACATCATTTCCCTCGCTGAAGCTTCTGAAAATTCTATGCCATTGCAGCCTTTCTTACCTTCAAAACTGGCATTTGTTCAATAACAGCACTCCCTACAGAGGATGCAAATCAGTATTCCCTTCTCTCAA